AAAAAATCAAGAATGTGGTGTGGCTCTTTAGTCATAGGGGTCCTCTGTTACAATTAATCAAAATAACAACATTCAAATTTATGAGTTTCCTATACATTAAAATTTAGGGAGCAACCATTATATGCTAAAGTGTAGCACCCTTTCAAATAAGGCAGACTGAAAGGACTTTGAACCCATCAAGTGATTGTATGACAATTTGGCATGATTTTTCGCATTTTCTTAGATTTTGCCTCTATACAACGAATATAATTAGTAAACAATTGGGAATACAAAGTGGATATTAATTTGCATAGTCTATAAAGGTTACCTAAAATTTTGGATCCTTATAAAGTGTTTCAATTATGTACTCTTAATTCTCCTCACGCACATTACCATATGACTTGCTCTTTGGGTCATCACCAGACTTAGCCAAATCTTTGTAGTGCATATACATTTAGTATCAGTAGTCCTTATACCTTGTAGTAAACGTTTTGTTGATGGCCTTCCAAACACTAACTTTTTTGCGATACTCTTTAATGTTAATTTTTTTTTTTTTTCGTAAGGTAATGTTAAATTTTATCTACAACAAAATATAAATACACAAATTAATTCTACACAAATAAACATATTGTTGAAACCAAACAAATATGTCCACTAACCAACAACCATGCAATGAATGGTGGTCTTCTCTTTCTGTTATTTGATTCCATTTGTGGACATTTCTAATAGAGGCAAATGTCCTAGCCAGGGAGCCAATCTCTCCTATCACCTTTGAACAATGTACATCCATTAGAATGTCGACTCCATCAGGAATCAAAACATCAAGCAGACTGTGAGCTGCATGAAGACGCTCAACATTTTTTTCTCTAAACGGTCCTCGACCTCGTTTCTTGGAGGTAGAAGCTGTGCAAACATTAATAATAGATGTTAGTCCACCATTTTAAGAAAAATATTTAGTAAATAAAGTATGCATCAAACCTATACTATTACCCTCAATGCCTGCAACAGGTGTGTTAGGTATAGGTTGTGATGTAGGTGCATCAGATGATACAGCCCTAACACGTGTACTATATTGCCCCTATAGTACAATTTTATTGTCACATCAGAACCATTTGCTAGTGACCACAATTCATCAATTGCTTCATGCCACCCATCGCCTCAAAACTGATTCATCTACACACATGCATATGAAAGTTTTTATGATATTACAAACTAATGAAAATAATGCTTATAATCTAAATTTGTATAACTTACACGTTTTGCAAACCACTTGGGAAATTCGGCTTGGTAGCGCCAAGTGATGTCATCATTTCTTTCCAACTCTAATATATTTTTGTGTTCCCTACATATAAAATCATAAATTGAACATATATATAACAAATTGCAAACAAATAAAAGGTACAATAAGCATGCTCACAAATATTTATATTTAATATACACATACTCTAAATACGGATCTAATTCGGGACTATTATGTAACACAAACCAATGAGTCATCTCTCGTTCCTATGGAGAGACCTCAGTTGCTCTTGTAATTCGCCCAAAAGGACGAACATATTGGGTGAACAAAGTTAACCCATGCACATTTTCAACTCAATCTGTATTTCGTTCCTCGCGATTAAAAATTGTTTCGATACCGGTAAGATACATCGAGCAAAAGGTAAGACACTCTTTGACAATATAAGCCTCCGCAATTGAACTTCTAAACGAGTTTGATTACGAACATATTCTTTTAAATTTCCGAGATACCTTTAATCAATCATAGAACATATAAGAAGACAATAACAAAACCAAATGAGAAGCTAATAACAATTTAAAATATTATCTTTCCACATGGTACATCCATCGATACTGCACTGGTCCAGCAATCTTGGCTTCCCTTGGCAAGTGAACTGCTAAATACACCATAACATCAAAGAATGTAGGTAAAAATATATTTTCTAACTTACAAAGAATAAATATTATGCTATCTTGTAATGAATCCAAGTCTTTTACCATCAATGCCTTTGCACAGAGTTGTTGAAAAAAACTTCCCAGCTCAAACAAAGTGGTACAAATTTCCTTATCCAAGTAACTACGAATTCCAAGTGGAATAAGTCATTGTAAAAGAACATGACAATTATGGTTTTTCAGGCCCGATACCTTACCATCCTTCATGCTCACAGACCTCGACATATTTGCTACATATCCATGCGGATACTTAACTGATTTAAAAAATTTATAGACCCTTTGTCTTTCTTTTGGAGACAAAGTTTACCACGCAGCTAGTTTTACATATGACTCCCCATTCTTTTGGAGGTGCAAAATTTTCTGATATTTAGGTTCTCCAAATCTAGACGAGTTTTATTTGTGTCCTTATTCTTGCCATCAATACTCAACAACGTGTCAAGCAAACTATCACATATATTCTTTTCTATGTGTATGACATCAAGGTTGTGCCGAATCTTAAGCACATATCAATACGATAACTCAAAAAAAAATGCTCTTCTTTGTCCAATTAAGTTCCTCAAAATGACTGCTTTCTTTTTCGATTGTTTGGATGTTTCCCGAATTGCACATTTGATAGACACTCCAATTGATCTAAAATCTCTTGTCATGATAACTCGCAAGGCTTTGATTTTTTCTCAATCTTACCATTAAATAACTTACTTTGTCGCCAGTTGTGATCTTGCGGCAAGTAACAACGATGGCCTATGTAGCCTATTTTGCTTCTTAATGGATGTGATAATACATCAAAATTATGAGTGGGGCATGCCTTGTAACCTTTTGTACTCCGTCCAGATAGGTTACCATAAGCAGGAAAATCATTTATGGTCCACATAATAACTGCACACATTTGGAATGTTTATTTGATACATGCATCAAAAGTTACAACACCTTCCCACAATTCTTTCAACTCATCAATTAATGGATGCAATTATCCGTCAATCTCCTTCCCGGGTGTCTGTGGTCCTGGAATAAGGGAGGCATGTTGTAAGGCATCAAGATCACAGGCCACATACTGTAAGAGTTGCTCAAGTTTTCAATAGGGTTAAAACCATCAGTAGCAAATCCAAGACTAACATTACAAGCGTTCCTAGCGAAATCAGGATACTGCTTATCAAAGTCTTTCCATTCTTCAGAATTATCAGGATGCCTTAAAAAATTCTCGTCATCCACTCGCTTCTCTTGGTGCCACCTCATATCTATAACCGTCTTCCTTGACACAAACAATCTTTGTAACCTCGGTTTCAAAGGAAAATACCACAAGATCTTATGATGTATCTTCTTAAGCTGATATCTTGACTCCTAACATATTGTACACTTATTCAATTTTTCATTCTCTTTCCAAAGTAACATACAATCGTATCTACATGCATGAATGGATACGTATTTCAATCCCAAAGCTCATAAGAATTATTTAGCATCATAGAAAGACATTGAAAGAATATGAACTTCAAGTAAAAAGTCTTCCAATAGCTCTAACATCAATGTTAATGACTTATTGCTCTACTTGCTCAGTACCTTCAAATGAAGCAACTTAACCAAGAACGACAACAATGTATATTTTTTGCAACCAGGATACAAAACACGTTTAGCATCCTTCAGTAATTTTTCAAAATTTTGAACTTCCTCACTATCAACATTCTCACATGTGTGTCCAGCACGAACACCCCCTAAATCATTATCCATGAACATTCCCCTACCAACATCTTCCAACATTTTGGATATTTCATCTCGATCATTATCTGCACTATCGATTATATCATTCTCGACACTATCAACATCATCATCATCTTCTTCAAAAAATTGGGTGACATTCATAGGAATGGGTTCCCCATGGTGTACCCACATTGTGTAAGAGGTCATGATCCCTTTCACGTACAAATGATTTTTCACAGTCTCATCATCATGTCATTCTGCATTCATGCAATTTCTACATGGACAATGAATTTTTCCATCTCGACTCGAACATTCCACGGAAAAATTGACAAAATATTTGACCCCATCAATGTATTTTGCATCCAACCTATATCTAATTGTCATCCAACTGTTGTCCATAACTGATGCCCTACAAAATCACATGCAGGCATGCATAGAATAATACAAATTTTTAAAATTATAAACAACCTACATTGAAACCTTAATTTATATTAAGGTTTCAATAAATCACCGAAACTCATAACTCGCCCATTCTCAGAAACAAAACAAAGCATTAAAAAATTAGACATATATGATACGTCATCAAGCTTTCTTACTAATCAAGGTGTACATGAGGTTAATCTAAGTTGATAACAAGAACCTTAATATTGCAATGCATGTGGATACGAGTATTTTTCTAAAATTTCAAGCTCCGCTTTTTATGGCANTTAATCTAAGTTGATAACAAGAACCTTAATATTGCAATGCATGTGGATACGAGTATTTTTCTAAAATTTCAAGCTCCGCTTTTTATGGCAGTTGGATACTAAAAGGTGTCCATGTGGTGTGGTGTGCATTTGATACTCCACTTCGTATTATGTTAAAATTTATTTAGTTAGTGTTAGATTTGGCCAACCAACTCGATTACCATTCAAAACTATCATGTCAAAGCTACACTTATGTTCAATAATCTTATTCGAGTTGGAGAGTCATATTACGAATTGACCTCGTTAGAACCACGTTTCAATCTCCTCTTCAAAAAGATTTCTAATACGTGTTATACTTGAATTTGTATTATATCACATTCATGTCATGTATAATTTAATTAAATATCCATTACACTCAATAATCTACCCCTAAAATCCACACAAATCTTTGGAATGAAATATCAAAGCCGCATGGTTGGCATCAATTTTCCTTAAAAACCAAAAGTCTTGCATCATTTAAGGACTTGCTCCTATCCCATCTTTTTTGCTGGAATTTTTTCGATATAGGTGAATGCTTGAAATTTCCACTTCCTAAATAGAGACCCAATTTCAAACGAAAACTGTTGATACAATCTTGGCTTTGAATGTTTCTATTATGCTTGGTAATTGGCGATTTTTTTTTTTTGTTTTGTTATGTAGTGAATTCAAACACAGTAGGGGTAATTAAAGTGGAATAACCTCTACATTAAATATTAATAACTTATAGTGTCTATATTCCTAATCTTCATCTTGTATACAAAGTTGACATTTTGGAAACACTAATGGCATGAAACTTTCGTTATCAACTGAATTATTTAAAAAGTAAAAGTATAAGATATATAATATTTCACATTTATTGACATTCTCCAAATAAGTCTAGAAAGTAGAAATCAAACCCAGTTTTTTCCTGTTCTTCGTTAAATTTTTTATTTAGGTGTTGTTAATTGCAGTAACTATCAGTGTGCTTACAAAATCACGGAAACCCACAATTCAACACAAAAAATTTACATACATCAATTTGTAGATTTCATCTAAATGGATGAAAATTCAAAGAGAAACCTCAACAATCAAATACAACCCCGCCCCCCCAATTCCAGAAAACAATTCTTAAAACCTAAATGAGATTCCCTCTAATTAAGGTGATTTTTTTCTAGCAAGTGTCTCTACCAAACTGAGAGAAAGAGCGATAGTGAGAGGGGTACCTGTTTTGTGCTGCGTCTCACTTGAGGGAAGGAAATGCGCAAGAAATCGGCGATGCCTCGATGGAGCTCTGGACTCTGAGTGAACCCCTCCGGCCTCGACTTCGACTGTTCGTTGTTCAAACTTCGACTTCGACTTCAACGTAGCACAGAAAGAGAGAAAGAGAGATGACTGGGACGTGAGGAGGTCGCTGGAACTCTAATGTTCATGAGAGGCACAGACCAAAGAAAGGCAGAAATTGGTGGGCTGAGCGTGGTGGAGCCTGTGGCTGTGTGTGGTCGTGGTTGAAATATTTTTCGTGAAGAATAAGGACTGCTATGGCTTACCCAAAAATGATAGGGGTTTTATGTTTTTAAAGAAATAAAACGACGTCGTTTTGGGTATAAAGGGGTATTTCAAAGCCCACATCGTTTTGGTTGTTTTGTTTTTTGAAAAAAATATATTCCGCAACAAAAACTAAAATGTCACGATTAATATTTTAATTTTGATTTACAAAAACAAAATTTGTATTCTCCGAAAAATATAGAAATGTCGCGACTTAATAATTTATTTAATACATAAATAAAATTTAAATTTTGCGAAGAACTTAAAAAAAGTCATAAAAAAATAATATTAAAATAGATATTTCCAACAAACTTAAAAAATGTCGCTAATGAATATTTTTATTTTATTTTGACTTTAATTTTTGGTTTAAAAAACTAAAATTTATATTTTGCGACCAAAAATTCAACGTTGAAATAAAAAATTTTAATAATTTCTTTTTTCGACGCAAAAAAAAAAAGTCGCGAAATAATATTTTGACTTTATTTTAATTTTAATTTTAGATTATATATTTTTCACGACGATTTAATAATATCTACGACAAAAAATATTTGTCATAAAAAATTGTCCATTCACACAACTTCCCACACCATAAAAATTTGGGAAAGAATCACNTTTAGATTATATATTTTTCACGACGATTTAATAATATCTACAACAAAAAATATTTGTCATAAAAAATTGTCAATTCACACAACTTCCCACACCATAAAAATTTGGGAAAGAATCGTCATTTCGTGATGCATTTAGAAAAAAAAGGGTTGTAAAAAAATTACAAAAATAGAAATTTGCGACAAATTATAAAATCGTCATGGATAGCATATTTTTTGCGACATTTTTAATTTGTTGCAAAATATGATTTTTTGTTGTGGTGACTAGTAAAGAATAGGTAGGCTATCACTAATGACCAAAGGCAGCCATGGGCAAGCAATAAGAAAACTGTTTATTTTAAAGTTGCACATTATAAACATGTGACCTAAAAGATCAATTTATGAGAAAGGAAACCTAGAAGACTTCAATCATGAATTTTAAACAATTTGCGTAAAAAATAGGTGTGCTATTTTATTCTAGCCAGGATTCTATATTCCAAAAAATCGATGTACACTCTTATAAATCAGAGGTACATACTATTTTTTCCCTACTAATTTCTTGCTTAAATTTACAGCCCTTCATGCCATGCCTTAAGTGTGGGAGTGCTTCCAACCAGTCAAACCCTAGTCTATGACAAGTTGCTCCTTTTGCAGGAGCCAAGGTGAACCTAATTTGCTTGACCAGTCATTCAAATCCAAAAACAATCATCATTGTGTTNAAAAATCGATGTACACTCTTATAAATCAGAGGTACATACTATTTTTTCCCTACTAATTGCTTGCTTAAATTTACAGCCCTTCATGCCATGCCTCAAGTGTGGGAGTGCTTCCAACCAGTCAAACCCTAGTCTATGACAAGTTGCTCCTTTTGCAGGAGCCAAGGTGAACCTAATTTGCTTGACCAGTCATTCAAATCCAAAAACAATCATCATTGTGGTCACTAATTTCCTTGTACACTATTGTTGATCCTTCCAGAAGGATGTTCAAGCTTCATGGAAGAGATGAAGATCCTTGAAAATTGCTCCCAAAAGCTATGTCTAATTTTTGCTATGTGGAACTCTGATTAATTCCTCTTTTTGTAGTCACTAAGACTATTTTCCTTATGCAACATGTGTTGTTTGATGTTGTTGTGATGTCACTGTGATGCTTGGTGCCGAGATGTTGTGCCAGATATCTTATTTTCTCTTGCTAATCTATATTATTATTAATAAAAGTACTTTAACATGAAAAACTTCTGAATCTCTATTTTAATCTTATAAAGAATTGTAAATATCAATCTATTCTTTAACAATTAAATATCTAAATTGTCATCATATCCTTATATATTTAAATCTCCAAATTATCTCTAACATTTTTTTTTAATTATCTATTCTCTATGTATAAATATTAGTTTCTATAAAAAAAAATTGTTGACTATATTACCCTTCAAAAAATATGTATTATTATNATTAGTTTCTATAAAAAAAAATTGATTGACTATATTACCCTTCAAAAAATATGTATTATTGTATTTTCAATAAAGTATTCAAAAAATCTTTAAAAATTTCATAAATCTAATATTACTCATCTTATATGCAAAGATAATATTATTCTTACGTATGTGTATTTTCTTCTTCATCAAAAAAGTTTAAACATTTCATTTCCAAGATTAAAAATTATCATATATTTAGTTTTTTAAAATCAATTTATGTTCCATTAATATAATTATTCATCCGCAATAAANTTTCCAGGAACTACTATATTCACAGCACCAAGGTGTATAACTTCCTGCACAACATGATAATAACATGTATGGGAATTATTTTATATTATAACTTCCTTCCATAAATTTGATAAAAAAAAAAAATCAAATATAAGAACTTACTCTAACAGCATTACTGATGACCTCTGTCATATATGGCAAGTAAGAGTAAACCTCTTGAATGGATTTTCCTTCCTGAAGAGAATAGTTAATGTCATTGCCTCCGATCTCACCCAAGAAGACAAGAGCCCTAGTAAACATTTTCGAACGTGCTGAATAAACATATGCAAAAACAAAACAATTTGAGTTATAGGATTGTTAGAGGTATCAAAAAGTATGGACTACCATATCAGAAGTTACAATCCTTTTTGGGTAGTTGCTTACGATGTTTGGACAAATATTTGCAAACCTGCTAGTGAGTGGCAATTGGTGCTGAGGTGGGATTTGAACCAGTTAAGTTGATCACCTAGGGAATTATTAGTCACAGGATTATAAATGCCCCTTGTGGAGAAGAAAGAATAGTCCAATGCTGTACTTCCAGCTACTGCAAAGTTGACGCCATGACTAAATGTACCATTACTTTCGAGATAAGGATTGAGCAGTGGGAGAGAAAGAGCTATAGCTGTAAATTATCAACCACATACATAGGGTTAGCCTTGTACATATATAACAATGTTATGCCAAAACATGGCTAGAATACATGGGATTCGTACCAAAAAAGGATTAACTGGAATACCGGAACAAAGTTCGAATTAACGTACTATAATAGTATATATATAAACTAAATCTATATAGATTCTTTTGTTTATATATTTATCAAATGTACACTCATGACGAATTTGTCTNTCAAGCTTAATTGCATGTATAATAGTATATATATAAACTAAATCTATATAGATTCTTTTGTTTATATATTTATCAAATGTACACTCATGACGAATTTGTCTTTTTTTAAGAAAATTACTTGAAAAGGCACTAATTTTTTCACACAATCCAAAGGGTGAAATCATCAGTGGACACAAGAATTTAATCTTAGGCAAAAATAAATGTTCTTTTCTGGATGAATGGGAATTTATATCTGTACATATAGTACTGATTAACATATATACACATACATACATACACATATATGTATAGGTACTTAGCCAGTTTAGTTCCCATTAATTTAGATTACTGTTGGGTGGAATGAACTAGGTGTAGACCTAAAATTGACATTAGTTGCACAAAATGACTGTCCTCATATTTAAACCAATAACTTTGTGATCGTTGGGCCAAATTGTTACTATTATACCAGGATCTCTAATTGCATTTTTGACTTGAGGATGCTTATTGACTTTAATATTCAAGCATGCCCAACAAATAGTTGTCCATAAATAATTGAAAAAAATTCATTAGTTCATGTATAAAATCGAATTTCTTTTGCATTTGGAAACTATTCAGGGCATGGAGTTGAATTGCTACATCCTATTGTTACAATAATTTTCACCAAATATGTACTCCTCCAAATATTGAGATTTGAGTTATTTGATTATCACAAATTACTCATTCCAAGATTCTCAGCATAATTTCCCCCGTGCACTAAAATTACACATACAAACATCTTATATACCAGGCCCAATACAAGACCATAATTACATGGCTTAGAGGAGAGGGGGCTAGATGTATGTAGCTCTCACCTGCGTGTAGGGTCGAGAGAGAGTCAGGTGTGTACAGTTTTAACCTCACATCTAGCACTAGGTTACAATGAAGCAATCTTAATTACCATCGTGTCAATGCTTACCCTCAGTTTTGTGCTATGCTAACAGCCAAAACAAAAGTACCAACTAGTTTTGAAGAGCTATTTGCAAAACGGAGAGGTTTTAAATGCTTCAGAAAATGACTCAGAGACCACACACCTATTTTTTGTTGATGATCTTATCCTTTTTTCTCTAGAGCATCATGAAAAGATTGTGATAAGATAGGGGAGGTATTAGGTAGTTTCTATGATGCATCAGGGCAAAAGTAAGCCCATCAAAACCCGAAGTGTTCATATGCCCCTGTATTAGTAAAGCGTGTGCAGGGATTCTAGGCACAAGGTGTGGCTTCACTCGCACAGAGGATCCGGGAAACTACTTGGGCATTCTCTTGCTAAAGAAAGCATCTATCAAGGAACAATTTATATACATTATAAAAAATAGCAGAAAGAGGGTGAGTGGTTAGAAAACAAGATATTATCTACGGCTGGTAGAGCCACATTAATAAAAGCAATCATTGCCACCCTTCAAACTATGGTATGCAAATAAATTAGCTTCCACACTCCAGATATGATAGATAAAGATAAACTGAATATTAATTTTCTATGAGGTGATGCGGGGAGAAGAACAAAGTTCACTTAATAAACTAGAACAAAGTTTGTACACCTAAGAATAGGGTGGACTTGGCTTAAGAAGTAAAGAGAATAACACTATACTTTTATCCAAATTAGGTTGGAAAATCAAGGAAAACAACAAGGCACTTTGGGTCGCTGCAATTAACAATAAATATGTAAAACAAAACGATGAGTGCAAAAATTCGCAACTAGGGGAGCAATTCTAAAACCCGGAGATATACTACATATAGGTACAAAATGGGCAGTTGGAAATGAAGAAAATGCGGCATTCTTGACAGATTGGTGGGTGGGTAGGAAATACCACTATATAGAAGACAGTACATCTCCTCCCCATAGCTGATCTAACGGTAAAAGTGGTAGATTTCGTTAACTTAGAAGGTAGCTGAAAGCCCTATGGGGAACATTGCACATCCCATCATATCTTGGAGGAAACATTGCACACCCCGCTGCCTAAACATGGGCTTTTTCAAGATAAGCCCTATGGGTGCCTAGCTAGCAATGGCCAATTAACAAAAGCTGCTAAACATATCGGTACGTGGTTAGTGGAGGTGGTTGGTTGTGGGCTGCTGGTGGTGAAAGCTATATGATTGCTAGTGGTGACTGTTTGGTGCAAGAAAAATGAAAAAGAAAAGAAGGGATAACAAAGAGGGGCAGTTTGGCTAGTAGTGCAAGGTTTTTCTTGGGACAAATAATTGATGTTGGAGATAGGAATAGGTTAAATTCGTTTTTTTAGAGGGTAAAAGAAGAATTATAAGAGGTTGCTACTCCAAAATCTGTTGTGATCGACAAAAATGCCTCAATTGATAGACAGTTCTCAAGTGATTGCTTGTGGATGGATTCTACTGCCTTGTTTTAGGACTCCTTAGATTGAATCCGATACAAAAACACACAAAATACTGAACTAACAAAGAAATATGTCTTTATTAGTTCAATCGAGTGGGTTTTAGTTACAGAGTGACTGATTTAACAGTCTTTAATTACAACGCTAACTACTTCCTAAAAACTAACTCTAACACTACTCCTAAATGTCCTAATCGTGGGTCTTGTGAAGGGTTTGAGTTTTTTTTGTTCGTCTTCCTCCTCTTCCTCTTTTATAGTCACTCTTCTAGACAGTTTCTCCCTCGTCAACTGTTATTTGGCTTCGTAACTCCCACACAGTTGTTTCTTCTTTCAAGTCAGAGTTATGGTTGGTCGCTTTCTACCTTTTCTTCAACTCTTGACACGTGGCGACAACATAATGATTTCAAGCTTGCCAACAACACACGCATCAAATGTTCTTACAATTTATATCTTAGGTCCAAACAATGCCCCCTCATTTAATTGGGTTTATTCCTTAATCCAAGTGAATGAATCATCACGTCCGTTGTTTTTTCTCATTGCCTTCTTAAGATGTCTTTCAACAGCTAATCTATTTATTTCGAATGAGCAAATGAACAGTCAGTAACCTCTAGAAAACCATCAATGCGCCTATTTAAAGGGTTCGGCCACTGTGGAAGTCTTTGTCCGTACTATTCTTCTTATCTTTACTTTTGGTAATTTTCCTTGGCTTGTTCTTAATTTTTAAACTTCTTCTTGATCTTTTGATGGTGTCCAAAACGGAAAGCAAGTTACTCTACTCCTGTTAGCTCCCCTCCAAACATGCCTCCTGCTCTTCGGTTCTCTGCGAGCCTCAGATACGTCATTTGGAATTCAATTGATGATTGAATCCTTATCCCATCTGAAGACCCTGGGCCAAACTTTGCTCTAGATCCAACCTTCAAATCCACCATGCTTCTAGTATTGTCTGAATGCTACCCTATTGCTCACAGAGAAAGCTTAACACTTCATCGCCCTCATCTTCAATGGAGGCACTGGGATCAAGGGCTTACTCCTTTGAAAACGTGGTCAAAGACTTGAAATGTCATGCTCATTCCTCCTAGCATGATGTCTCCTTGCATTCTTGATATCGTGCACTTAAAAGGGCTTTTACCAATTGGTATTAAGGTAACTACAACCTTGAAACCAAATCGCATCTTGGTAGATATCCCTACCAATTTTAGCTATTACAACTATATCTCTTTCTTCTATTGCTAAAGAATTCACCACAAAAAATGTTGTTGAGGTGTCCCTATTACCCACTTGGAGTTGCACCAGCAAAATTTCTTTTGCAGAAGAAGAGTCCCTTGCAAAATTATTGACTGTTATATCAATATGAAGCAAATCATTTTCTTCTTTGTCTAAAACTTTTAGCAGTCTTGAAGGCAAAATATTCATCACTACCCTATTATCAACCAAGATCTTGTAAATTGGTTAACCATCGATGCGGGCTCGAATGTACAATAGCCTTAGGTGTTTAGACAATTCCTTCTTGAGTGGGTGTAATATCACCCTGTCTGCACCCAGTATTTTTGTTCGATGCTTACAGACCTTTCTTCGGGCCTAAACTACTTTACTGTTTCTGCAAATATTGCTACAGACTTAGTACTATCATCTACATCTCCTATTAATTGACTTGGCTGTCCTGGCTTAGCCTTGAATGACTCAGATAAAGCCAATATCATGTTACATGATGCATCATCTCTGAGAAAAGACTTTATATCGTCGAAGTCCATTAGCTCCTCATTAGAAAGAATGCCCTTGTCTTCTTCCATTTTCTCTTTCCCTTTTGATAAGGGATGCAAGTAATTTTTTTACTTCTCTTTCAAACAAATCCAATATTTGTTTAAACTCAACAATCTTTTTGTCCAAAATACTATGTTTAATCTGTACCTCTTTGATTTCTTTTTTGCAGCTTCCTTGTCCGAGTGGGATTTTTGCTACCTATCGACAGACTAGGAGTTGAGTAAGCCTCCATAATAGTAGGATTTCGTCAGCTCATCCACACAACAAACTTCCTCTATTCTCTCCTTTTTTGAGTCCTACTAAGGGTCTGGTACCATGCCCCAGATGAAATTTGGTCGCTAAAGTTGGTGCCACTTATCATCATAGACTTCGGGGGGATTCACTATTCTTGATCCACTCTTCGAAATGATCTCAAATCTCCTTTTTTCTCTTCTAGGATTGTTACGCTTGGTGTTCTTGCCTCTTGATCTTATTCCACACAGTCTCTTTGGCCATCGATGATCTATCAAAATGCTTCATCCCTTGTGTTTTTCCTCTTCTTGCTTGGTCCTTGTACCTGGTTCCCCTTGCATTCATCCTGATCTCTAGGAGATAATTTGTACTTGGTTCCCCTTACATTGCCATTGTAAATCTGATTATCCCCTTCACCTCTGA